CATTAGTGTCCTAATACATTACATGCTGTAGGTCAATGTGGTTTAATCAGTGCCCTAATACATTACATGCTGTAGGTCGACGTGGTTTCATTAGTGTCCTAATACATTACATGCTGTAGGTCGATGTGGTTTCATTAGTGTCCTGATACATTACATGCTGTAGGTCGATGTGGTTTCATTAGTGTCCTAATACATTACATGCTGTAGGTCGACGTGGTTTCATCTGTGTCCTAATACATTACATGCTGTAGGTCGATGTGGTTTCATCTGTGTCCTAATACATTACACGCTGTAGGTCGATGTGGTTTCATCAGTGTCCTAATACATTACATGCTGTAGGTCGATATGGTTTCATTAGTGTCCTAATACATTACATGCTGTAGGTCGACGTGGTTTCATTAGTGTCGTAATACATTACATGCTGTAGGTCGATATGGTTTCATAAGTGTCCTAATACATTACATGCTGTAGGTCGACGTGGTTTCATTAGTGTCCTAATACATTACATGCTGTAGGTCAATGTGGTTTAATCAGTTTCCTAATACATTACATGCTGCAGGTCGACGTGGTTTCATTAGTGTCCTGATACAGTACATGCTGCAGGTCGACGTGGTTTCATCAGTGTCCTAATACATTACATGCTGTAGGTCAATGTGGTTTAATCAGTGTCCTGATACATTACAGGCTGTAGGTCGATGTGGTTTCATCAGTGTCCTAATACATTACATGCTGTAGGTCAATGTGGTTTAATAAGTGTCCTAATACATTACAGGCTGTAGGTCAATGAGGTTTAATCTGTGTCCTAATACATTACAGGCTGTAGGTCAATGTGGTTTCATCAGTGTCCTGATACATTACACGCTGTAGCTGAATGTGGTTTCATCAGTGTCCTAATACATTACATGCTGTAGGTCAATGTGGTTACATCAGTGTCCTAATACATTACATGCTGTAGGTCAATGTGGTTTAATCAGTGTCCTTATACATTACATGCTGTAGGTCGATATGGTTTCATTAGTGTCCTAATACATTACACGCTGTAGGTCAATGTGGTTTCATTAGTGTCCTAATACATTACATGCTGTAGGTCGATGTGGTTTCATCTGTGTCCTAATACATTACATGCTGTGGGTCGACGTGGTTTCATTAGTGTCCTAATACATTACATGCTGTAGGTCAATGTGGTTTAATCAGTGTCCTTATACATTACACGCTGTAGGTCGACGTGGTTTCATTAGTGTCCTAATACATTACATGCTGTAGGTCAATGTGGTTTAATCAGTTTCCTAATACATTACATGCTGCAGGTCGACGTGGTTTCATTAGCGTCCTGATACAACACATGCTGCAGGTCGACGTGGTTTCATCAGTGTCGTAATACATTACATGCTGTAGGTCGATATGGTTTCATCAGTGTCCTAATACATTACATGCTGTAGGTCAATATGGTTTCATCAGTGTCCTAATACATTACATGCTGTAGGTCGATATGGTTTCATTAGTGTCCTAATACATTACACGCTGTAGGTCAATGTGGTTTCATCAGTGTCCTGATACATTACAGGCTGTAGGTCGACGTGGTTTCATCAGTGTCCTAATACATTACAGGCTGTAGGTCGATATTGTTTCATCAGTGTCCTAATACATTACACGCTGTAGGTCAATATGGTTTCATCAGTATCCTAATACATTACATGCTGTAGGTCAATGTGGTTTAATCAGTGCCCTAATACATTACATGCTGTAGGTGGACGTGGTTTCATCTGTGTCCTAATACATTACATGCTGTAGGTCGATGTGGTTCCATTAGTGTCCTGGTACATTACATGCTGTAGGTCGATGTGGTTTCATTAGTGTCCTAATACATTACATGCTGTAGGTCGATGTGGTTTCATCAGTGTCCTAATACATTACATGCTGTAGGATATGGTTTCATCAGTCGATCAATGGTTTCATCAGTGTCCTAATACATTACACGCTGTAGGTCAATGTGGTTTCATCAGTGTCCTAATACATTACACGCTCTAGGTCAATGTAGTTTCATCAGTGTCCTAATACATTGCAGGCTGTAGGTCAATGTGGTTTCATCAGTGTCCTGATACATTACACGCTGTAGGTGAATGTGGTTTCATCAGTGTCCTAATACATTACATGCTGTAGGTCAATGTGGTTTAGTCAGTGTCTTAATACATTACATGCTGTAGGTCGACGTGGTTTCATCAGTGTCCTGATACATTACATGCTGTAGGTCGATATGGTTTCATTAGTGTCCTAATACATTACACGCTGTAGGTCAATGTGGTTTCATTAGTGTCCTAATACATTACATGCTGTAGGTCGATGTGGTTTCATCTTTGTCCTAATACATTACATGCTGTAGGTCGACGTGGTTTCATTAGTGTCCTAATACATTACATGCTGTAGGTCAATATGGTTTAATCAGTGTCCTTATACATTACACGCTGTAGGTCGACGTGGTTTCATTAGTGTCCTAATACATTACATGCTGTAGGTCAATGTGGTTTAATCAGTTTCCTAATACATTACATGCTGCAGGTCGACGTGGTTTCATTAGCGTCCTGATACAGCACATGCTGCAGGTCGACGTGGTTTCATCAGTGTCCTAATACATTACATGCTGTAGGTCGATATGGTTTCATCAGTGTCCTAATACATTACATGCTGTAGGTCAATGTGGTTTCATCAGTGTCCTAATACATTACATGCTGTAGGTCGATATGGTTTCATTAGTGTCCTAATACATTACACGCTGTAGGTCAATGTAGTTTCATCAGTGTCCTGATACATTACAGGCTGTAGGTCGACGTGGTTTCATCAGTGTCCTAATACATTACCCGCTGTAGGTCGATTTGGTTTCATCAGTGTCCTAATACATTACACGCTGTAGGTCAATATGGTTTCATCAGTGTCCTAATACATTACATGCTGTAGGTCAATGTGGTTTAATCAGTGCCCTAATACATTACATGCTGTAGGTCAATGTGGTTTCATCAGTGTCCTAATACATTACATGCTGTAGGTCGATATGGTTTCATTAGTGTCCTAATACATTACACGCTGTAGGTCAATGTAGTTTCATCAGTGTCCTAATACATTACAGGCTGTAGGTCAATGTGGTTTAATCAGTGTCCTGATACATTACAGGCTGTAGGTCGATGTGGTTTCATCTGTGTCCTAATACATTACACGCTGTAGGTCGATATGGTTTCATCAGTGTCCTAATACATTACAGGCTGTAGGTCAATGTGGTTTAATCAGTGTCCTGATACATTACAGGCTGTAGGTCGACATGGTTTCATCAGTGTCCTAATACATTACACGCTGTAGGTCGATGTGGTTTCATCAGTGTCCTAATACATTACACTCTGTAGGTCGATGTGTTTTCATCTGTGTCCTAATACATTACATGCTGCAGGTCGACGTGGTTTCATCAGTGTCCTAATACATTACACGCTGTAGGTCGACGTGGTTACATCAGTGTACTAATACATTAGATGCAGAAGGTCGACGTGGTTTCATCAGTGTCCTAATACATTACATGCTGTAGGTCGATGTGGTTTCATCAGTGTCCTAATACATTACATGCTGTAGGTCGACGTGGTTTCATCAGTCTCCTAATACATTACACACTGTAGGTCGACGTGGTTTCATCAGTGTCCTGATACATTACAGGCTGTAGGTCGACGTGGTTTCATCAGTGTCCTAATACATTACACGCTGTAGGTCGATATGGTTTCATCAGTGTCCTAATACATTACATGCTGTAGGTCAATATGGTTTCATCAGTGTCCTAATACATTACATGCTGTAGGTCAATGTGGTTTAATCAGTGCCCTAATACATTACATGCTGTAGGTCGACGTGGTTTCATTAGTGTCCTAATACATTACATGCTGTAGGTCGATGTGGTTTCATTAGTGTCCTGATACATTACATGCTGTAGGTCGATGTGGTTTCATTAGTGTCCTAATACATTACATGCTGTAGGTCGATGTGGTTTCATCTGTGTCCTGATACATTACATGCTGTAGGTCGATATGGTTTCATCAGTGTCCTCATACATTACATGCTGTAGGTCAATGTGGTTTCATCAGTGTCCTAATACATTACATGCTGTAGGTCGATATGGTTTCATTAGTGTCCTAATACATTACACGCTGTAGGTCAATGTAGTTTCATCAGTGTCCTAATACATTACAGGCTGTAGGTCAATGTGGTTTAATCAGTGTCCTGATACATTACAGGCTGTAGGTCGATGTGGTTTCATCTGTGTCCTAATACATTACACGCTGTAGGTCGATATGGTTTCATCAGTGTCCTAATACATTACAGGCTGTAGGTCAATGTGGTTTAATCAGTGTCCTGATACATTACAGGCTGTAGGTCGACATGGTTTCATCAGTGTCCTAATACATTACACGCTGTAGGTCGATGTGGTTTCATCAGTGTCCTAATACATTACACTCTGTAGGTCGATGTGTTTTCATCTGTGTCCTAATACATTACATGCTGCAGGTCGACGTGGTTTCATCAGTGTCCTAATACATTACACGCTGTAGGTCGACGTGGTTACATCAGTGTCCTAATACATTATATGCAGAAGGTCGACGTGGTTTCATCAGTGTCCTAATACATTACATGCTGTAGGTCGATGTGGTTTCATCAGTGTCCTAATACATTACATGCTGTAGGTCGACGTGGTTTCATCAGTCTCCTAATACATTACACGCTGTAGGTCGACGTGGTTTCATCAGTGTCCTAATATATTACACACTGAAATGGTGAAATTCTTCCATCTTGGATGGCAAAACGGTGTCATGTTAAGTTACACACTCGAGACAAACATGACACTCTTAATGTCAGGTTACATTCTATAATCTAGGTCGCCAACATGGTCTCAGTGTCATGTTAAATTGTCTACAGCTGACCAGCACGCCACTGGTTAAAATCCGTAATCGAGGTGAACAGTGTCTACCTACCAGGGCAGTGCAGATGATGACTGCTCCATGTCTCGTTGTTGTGGCAGATGACAGTTACGGACTGGTTGACGTTGTTGCAGGTGTATGCCCTGGTACTGCCAGCAAGCGTGGGCCCAGGCATCAGCAGTGCGTTGTCTACCTCAACCGGCTCGGCACACCTAAGACCTTTAAACAGGAGAAGCAACTGGTATCAAGAAATTTGTTAGAATTGCAAATAGCAAAACCAAATGAAAACGTACCATGCAGCCTATGCACAAAGTATGGCAACACACCATAGTTCTCATAGCATCACGATGTTACCAGTACCATAGCAAAGGCAGTTATCCAACCCGGAATTTAACTTCATATCTGGATAAATTAGCCTTCAAGGCACAATTAAATTAAAGCTAAAAGCCAAAAAATGTAGTTTATTGATGCAAGCAGACATGACAAAGAAATTACTAATTTTGTAGTGCTGCTAACTATGATCGTGTGATGTTAACAAGTGTCGGCCTACAATCCTCACCAAGTAGCAATACATAATTATCAATAACCGAGCACAACTGCAATATCGGGTGTAACCTCCGCCAGCCGCAATAATTACAGTATCGGGTGTAACCTCCGCCAGCCGCAATAATTACATTATCGGGTGTAACCTCCCCCAGCCGCAATAATTACAGTATCGCGTGTAACCTCCGCCAGCCGCAATAATATATCGGGTGTGACCTCCGCCAGCCGCAATAATTACAATACCGCAATAAGCCGCAATAATTACAATATCGGGTGTGACCTCTGCCAGCCACAATAATTACAGTATCGGGTGTGACCTCCGCCAGCCGCAATAATTACAATATCGGGTGTAACCTCCGCCAGCCGCAATAATTACAGTATCGGGTGTAACCTCCCCAGCCGCAATAATTACAATATCGGGTGTGACCTCCGCCAGCCGCAATAATTACAGTATTGGGTGTGACCTCCGCCAGCCGCAATAATTACAAGATCGGGTGTAACCTCCGCCAGCCGCAATAGTTACAATATCGGGTGCAACCTCCTCCAGCCGCAATAATTACAATATCGGGTGTAACCTCCGCCAGCCGCAATAATTACAATCCTGCCAGCCACAATAATTATAATATCGGGTGTTACATCCGCCAGCCGCAATAATTACAATATCGGGTGTGACCTCCGCCAGCCGCAATAATTACAATATCGGGTGTAACCTCCGCCAGCCGCAATAATTACAATATCGGGTGTGACCTCCGCCAGCCGCAATATTACAGTATTGTGTGACCTCCGCCAACCGCAATAACGTCCCTGACCATGTTACAATATCGGCCATCCTCCAGCTGTAATCAATATCGGACGCCAGCCGCAATGAAGTTGACGTTGAATTATAATATCGGTGTTCCGCGTTCTTTTGACCTCATAATGGAGGGTGTAACTTGCAACCAATAACGTACCTCAAGCCTGTGTTGACGTTGAGGTATTGCTGAAGGACTGAAGGACTGAAGGATTTTCCTGTCGTATTCTGTGATCCATAATGATCCAAACATGCTCTACGGTATGAAGGTCTGGACTCAAAAGTTGAGTTGTCTCAGCATGTGTCGCCAAGCATTCTCATCCATGAAGATTTGCCCTGCGTTCAGATATTGTTCATGTGGCACAACAACTCTGTCTCGAATATCAGCGATGTACCGTTGTCCATTCAGAGCTTGTCTGATGGTCAATAGGTCAAGTTTAGAGTCATGTGAGAGGTCAAACTGATGTCTTCTGCCCAATCGGTTGATAGTCGGTGGATGACCACAATTTATTTGGCAATAGTCCTCAACGACATGCCAGCATTCCGCATATCAATACCTTGTCATCTTTGAGCAGTTGAGGAGGCCCCATTTTTGCTTATGAACAACGAAATAAATTGATTGTCAGCGTTATCGAGCTGACAGATCAGGAGAATAATGATAATTTTATGGATATACAACTTCTTTTATTCTGTGGGGGCGACGTTTCGACATAGATTCTAATGTCCTTGTCAAACAAGTGATGACTTCTAAACTCATTTCTAAAATGCCCATCAAAGAAGACTGACAGAACAGGTTACATAATACTAGTAGTTACTTAATGGCGGGCACATGTATTGCACGTGATGTTTGCCCGTGATCGTAGAACGTGCATATCTAAACTCAAACTACGATATGCCCGAAATAAATGGAGTTTTGCAGGTTGATAGTCATAGGTGTTGAGATACTTTTATCAGTCTGTATATAGATACTGGTATCAAATGAACAAAGTAAAAGGCTTGATCACATTTAAAGACAAGTCTGTTATTGGATGCCGGGTCGATTAACCAGAACAACAACATTATTATCATCGGTACCATGAAGTAATATCTGCACGGATGTGTGCAGGAAAAGGTTCTTCCGGAAAGCAAAGTTTGACACGGTGTAAGTCCAGAAGGTATTAGTTTCAAGTCGACTAGACATCTAATGTCTCTGGAAACAGCAAAGATAAGTGAGTGATTGAGTTTAGTTTTACGCTGCACTCAGGAATATTCCAGCTATATGCGGCGGTCTGTAAATATTCGAGTCTGGACCAGACCATCCAGGGATCAAGAGCATGAGCATTGATCTGTGCAGATGGAAACCGATGACATGTGTCAACCAAGTCAGCGAGCTGACCACCCGATCCCGTTAGTCGCCTCTTACGACAAGCATGGTTTACTGAAGATCAATATTCTAACCCGGACCTTCACGGGTCACTATATTTAGGTCCGACACCAGTGCCGATACAACTGAAAGCAACAACACCTAAACATACGTATGCATTTTCCGTCCAGGCCCTTCCAGATGCCTTTCAAGCCATGTTTGGTACAGATGCTGCTGTTACTGTTCCCTTTGAACTTGAATCCTTTCTTGCAGGTGAACGTTGCTACTTTCTTGCGCCATCTCCCGGTGGCTCGTACACGGGCATTGGGGAGAGGCTTTGGGGGTGGACATCGGATTCGGGGGGGCTCTAAAACCCAACGGACATTTACTGTTATCAAATGAATCATTTAGCATCTAATGCTGACCAGTGCAATGGTAACATTGGCGTTAAAGATGGATAGCTAAAACATCTGATAGGAGGTCTTGCATATCTAACTTATGAATTTTATCTTTTGAAAGAGATTCTCAGGGGTTAAAGAGGAATTGTCACAGAAATACAGTTAGCTGTGTCCTACAGCTATAAATGGTTACGAAAGGCTATATAATTTTTTTGGTAAAATATGTGTAAAATTCACATCGGCGGAAACAAGAAACGAGTTTGATATGGCTAAGATGGGCCAATGGTCAAAGGCGCTGCCTTTCAGTGTACACAGTTGCGTCAAGCTGGCGTGTCCGGATCTTTGTCAGCACAATAACAGTGCTCGAAGGTTTTCACAGTTCGACTAAGGCCCACGACTTACGTCACCCCCACTACATGACCCACACCGAGACAGGCACTCACTTGCTGGGACGCATGTATGCGTTTTGTCGTAACCAAAACAGGTGAAGCTTTCTTTGCATGGCCGGTCATCACAAGGGTTTCTGAAAGACTATATTTGGCAGTAATAGCTAGTTGGGTATATGCATCAATCTAACAGTACTCAATAACACAAACAACAAGTAAAAAGTATTTCTTTTCAAAATACATTGTGATATTAGTAATAACTCTCACAGCAACCGGTCACAGATTTACAGTAATGTATCTTTGCGTATCTTTTCCTTGGTATATTTCTAAGTGTCATTTCGAGCTTCTGTCACCGCTATGATACGGCGACGCGAGCCCTTGTCTTAAATTCAAGCCGCAAAACCGGGGCTTACATACACGGAAAAAGTATCGCAACACCTGTGCTCTTTAACCCCTACATAGTCGTTCATATTCATATCATAATTATGCTTGTTATAGGAATATTTTGAGTATATGGTTTTGCAAAACAATTTCCATGTGTATATAGCAACTAACTGGTGTGCAGATACATATATAGCAACTAACTGGTGTGTAGATACACATATAGCAACTAACTGGTGTGTAGATGTATATATAGCAACTAACTGGTGTGTGTAGATCCATATATAGCAACTAACTGGTGTGTAAATACATATATAGCAACTAACTGGTGTGTGTAGATGCACACATAGCAACTAACTGGTGTGTAGATGTATCTATATCAGCTAATTGGTGTTTAGATACATACATAGCACCTAACTGGTGTGTAGATACATATATAGCAACTAACTGGTGTGTAAATACATATATAGCAACTAACTGGTGTGTAGATACATACATAGCAACTAACTGGTGTGTGTAGATGCATACATAGCAACTAACTGGTGTGTAGATACATACATAGCAACTAACTGGTGTGTAGATATATATATAGCAACTAACTGGTGTGTAGATACATACATAATAACTAACTGGTGTGTAGATGCATATATAGCAACTCATTGGTGTGTAGATCCGTACATAGCAACTAACTGGTGTGTAGATATATATATATATATATAGCAACTAACTGGCGTGTAGATACATACATAGCAACTAACTGGTGTGTAGATATATATATAGCAACTAACTGGTGTGTAAATGCATACATAATAACTAACTGGTATGTAGATACATATATAGCAACTAACTGGTATGTAGATACATATATAGCAACTGACTGGAGTATAGATACATATATAGCAACTAACTGGTGTGTAGATACATATATAGCAACTAACTGGTGTATAGATACATGATAGCAACCAAATTGTGTGTAGATATATATATAGGAACTAACTGGTGTGTAGATATATATATAGGAACTAACTGGTGTGTAGATACATATATAACAACTAACTGGTGTGTAGATGCAAATATAGCAATTAAATGGTGTGTAGATTCATATATAGCACCTAACTGGTGTGTAGATACATGTCATAGCAACTAACTGGTGTGTGTAGATGCATACATAGCAACTAACTGGTGTGTAGATACATACATAGCAACTAACTGGTATGTAGATATATATATAGCAACTAACTGGTGTGTAGATACATACATAATAACTAACTGGTGTGTAGATGCATATATAGCAACTCATTGGTGTGTAGATCCGTACATAGCAACTAACTGGTGTGTAGATATATATATATATATATATATATAGCAACTAACTGGTGTGTAGATACATACATAATAACTAACTGGTGTGTAGATACATATATAACAACTAACTGGTGTGTGTAGATGCATACATAGCAACTAACTGGCGTGTAGATACATTCATAGCAACTAACTGGTGTGTAGATATATATATATAGCAACTAACTGGTGTGTAGATACATACATAATAACTAACTGGTATGTAGATACATATATAGCAACTAACTGGTATGTAGATACATATATAGCAACTGACTGGAGTATAGATACATATATAGCAAATAACTGGTGTGTAGATACATATATAGCAACTAACTGGTGTATAGATACATGATAGCAACCAAATTGTGTGTAGATATATATATAGGAACTAACTGGTGTGTAGATATATATATAGGAACTAACTGGTGTGTAGATACATATATAACAACTAACTGGTGTGTAGATGCAAATATAGCAATTAAATGGTGTGTAGATTCATATATAGCACCTAACTGGTGTGTAGATACATACATAGCAACTAACTGGTGTGTGTAGATGCATACATAGCAACTAACTGGTGTGTAGATACATACATAGCAACTAACTGGTGTGTAGATATATATATAGCAACTAACTGGTGTGTAGATACATACATAATAACTAACTGGTGTGTAGATGCATATATAGCAACTCATTGGTGTGTAGATACGTACATAGCAACTAACTGGTGTGTAGATATATATATATATATATAGCAACTAACTGGTGTGTAGATACATACATAATAACTAACTGGTGTGTAGATACATATATAACAACTAACTGGTGTGTGTAGATGCATACATAGCAACTAACTGGCGTGTAGATACATACATAGCAACTAACTGGTGTGTAGATATATATATAGCAACTAACTGGTGTGTAGATACATACATAATAACTAACTGATATGTAGATACATATATAGCAACAAACTGGTATGTAGATACATATATAGCAACTGACTGAAGTATAGATACATATATAGCAAATAACTGGTGTGTAGATTCATATATAGCAACTAACTGGTGTATAGATACATGATAGCAACCAAATGGTGTGTAGATATATATATAGAGAACTAACTGGTGTGTAGATATATATATATAGGAACTAACTGGTGTGTAGATACATATATAACAACTAACTGGTGTGTAGATGCAAATATAGCAATTAAATGGTGTGTAGATTCATATATAGCAACTAACTGGTGTGTAGGTACATATGTAGCAATTAACTGGTGTGTAGATATATATATAGCAACTAGCTGGTGTGTAGATACATACATAATAACTAACTGGTGTGTGTAGATGCATACATAGCAACTAACTGGTGTGTAGATACATACATAGCAACTAACTGGTGTGTAGATATATATATAGCAACTAACTGGTGTGTAGATACATACATAATAACTAACTGGTGTGTAGATGCATATATAGCAACTGAATGGAGTGTAGATACGTACATAGCAACTAACTGGTGTGTAGATATATATATAGCAACCAACTGGTGTGTAGATACATACATAATAACTAACTGGTGTGTAGATACATATGCAACAACTAACTGGTGTGTGTAGATGCATATATAGCAACAAACTGGCGTGTAGATACATATATAGCAAGTAACTGGTGTGTAGATACATATATAGCAACTAACTGGTGTGTCGTGTGTGTAGATACATATATAGCAACTAACTGGTGTGTAGGTACATATGTAGCAATTAACTGTTGTGTAGATATATATATAGCAACTAACTGGTGTGTAGGTACATATGTAGCAATTAACTGGTGTGTAGATACATATATAGCAACTAACTGGTGTGTAGATATATATATAGCAACTAACTGGTGTGTAGATATATATATAGCAACTGACTGGAGTATAGATACATGTATAGCAACTAACTGGTGTGTAGATACATATATAGCAACTAACTGGTGTGTGGTCTGTGTAGATACATATATAGCAACTAACTGGTGTGTAGATACATATATAGCAACTATCTGGTGAGGAGATACATATATAGCAACTAACTGGTGTGCAGATACATATATAGCAACTAACTCGTGTCTGGTGTGTGTTTCATATATAGCAACTAACTGGTGTGTAGATACATATATAGCAACTAACTGGTGTGTAGATACATACATAATAACTAACTGGTGTGTAGATACATATCTAACAACTAACTGGTGTGTGTAGATGCATACATAGCAACTAACTGGCGTGTAGATACATATATAGCAGCTAACTGGTTTGTAGATACATATATAGGAACTAACTGGTGTGTAGATACATATATAGCATCTAATTGGTGTGTAGATACATATATAGCATCTAACTGGTTTGTAGATACATATATAGGAACTAACTGGTGTGTAGATACATATATAGCAACTAATTGGTGTGTAGATGCCTATATTGCATCTAACTGGTGTGTAGATGCATATATAGCAACTAACTGCTGTGTAGATGCATATATTGCAACTAACTGGTTTGTAGATGCATATATAGCAACTAACTGGTGTGTAGATGCATATATTGCAACTAACTGATGTGTAGATGCATATATAGCAACTAACTGGTGTGTAGATGCACATATTGCAAGCAACTGGTGTGTAGATGCATATATAGGAACCAACTCGTTGTAGGACACTACCGGAGACATGGCAGATGTTGAATACTGAGAGTTGGACGCTATCTTGCCTTGAGGTCGGGACACATGGCAGATGTTGAGTACTGAGAGTAGGACACTACCTTGCACTGAGGTCTGGACACATGGCAGATGTTGAATAGTGAGAGTAGGACACTACCTTGCACTGACGTCGGGACACATGAGAGATGTTGAGGACTGAGAGGTGGGCACTACCTTGCACTGAGGTCGGGGCACATGGCAGAAGTTAAATACTGAGGGTAGGACACAACCTTGCACTGAGGTCGGGACACATGGCAGATGTTGAGTACTGAGAGTGGGACACTACCTTGCACAGAGGTCGGGACACATGGCAGATGTTGAGTACTGAGAATAGGACACTACCTTGCACTGAGGTCGGGACACATGGCAGATGTTGAGTACTGAGAGTAGGACACTACCTTGCACAGAGGTCGGGACACATGGCAGATGTTGAGTACTGAGAGTAGGACACTACCTTGCACAGAGGTCGGGACACATGGCAGATGTTGAGTACTGAGAGTAGGACACTACCTTGCACAGAGGTCGGGACACATGGCAGATGTTGAATACTGAGAGTAGGACACTACCTTGCACAGAGGTCGAGACACATGGCATATGTTGAATACTGAGAATAGGACAAAAAATGCACTGAGGTCAGGACACATGGCAGATGTTGAGTATTGAGAGTAGGACACTATCTTGCACTAAGGTCGGGACACATGACAGATGTTGAGTACTGAGAGTAAGACACTATCTTGCAGTGAGGTCGGGACACATGGCAGATGTTGAGTACTGAGAGTAGGACACTGCCTTACACTGAGGTCGGGACACATGGCAGATGTTGAGTACTGAGAGTAGGACACTACCGTGCAGTGAGGTCGGGACACATGGCAGATGTTGAGTAGTGAGAGTAGGACACTACCTTGCACTGAGGTCGGGACACATGGAAGATTTTGAGTACTGAGATTAGGACACTACCTTGCACTGAGGTCGGACAAATGACAGATGCTGAGTACTGACAGTAGGACACTAACTTGCAGGGAGGTTGAACATTGATAGATGTTGAGTACTGAGAGTAGGACACTACCTTGCACTGGATTCGGACACATGACAGATTTTGAGTACTGAGAGTAGGACACTGCCTTGCACTGAGGTCGGACACATGACAGATGTTGAGTACTGAGATTAGGACACTGCCTTGCACTGAGGTCGGACACATGACAGATGTTGAGTACTGAGAGTAGGACACTGCCTTGCACTGAGGTCGGACACATGACAGATTTTGAGTACTGAGAGTAGGACAATACCTTGCACTGAGGTCGGGACACCACTCCGTACACATTGTTGAAATCTACGTCCAGGTCGGTTGGGCGTTGATGCTTAGTTTTCATCAGGGAACACTTCCTGGTCTTGAAGGAAAAGTTCACAGTCTTACACGGAGTTGTTGACCAGCAAAGGTTGAAGCACTGCTGCGAATTTCTCAGAATTTTTTCATGAAACACAACACCTGCAAAACGTAATCGGCCTCTCTCCTCCGCTGGTCCACACTGTCTCCTGGCCACAGCAAGAGCTACCCATGACAGGAGGACGACTAGTGCCGCCGCCATCGTTGCCTGAAGGTTACAAGTCTCACCATCACAAGACAATCAATGATATCAGTGTGCGTACGTGCGTACGCGTGTGTTTGCTTTATTTTCTTAACGCCACTCTCAGCTATATTCTAGCAATATGACGACTTAACCTGGAATTATAGAGTTTGTATCTGAAATTCAAGCGATTAATACTTAATACCATCGAGGAACGATGACTGTCGATTGACCGTGTGACCAGCCCTACCATTAAGTCCTCTTTTACGATCAACATAAGTCGTTAGTGTAACAAGGAAAGCTGATTCTCGTACCCAAACTAAAACACAACACAGAACAAAAGGAGAATAATAATAGCCATGCTCTGTAGCATTGGATCATACAATTTGTTTCAGGAGTTGCTACAATTCACCAACAAGAAACATTAGTGTAACAGCCGAAAAAGCTTCCCGTTTAAAAGCCGATCTTTGACTTGGTCAAACCTTACATGTACACATCCTTAATTATAATTTGCACATGGTCGCCTTAAAGATCTTAAAGAAGAGCAGTGTAACCCGATAATGTGCTAGCCGTCTGTGATGGGGTGATTCTTAGAGGTCAGCATCCTGTGTCAGCTGTCTGTGACGGGGAGACCCGCATGTGTCAGCTGTCTGTGACGGGGAGACCATCCTGTGTCAGCATTCTGTGACTGGGAGACCCGCCTGTGTCAGCATTTTGTGACGGGGAGACCCTCCTGTGTCAGCTGTATGTGACGGGGAGACCCGCCTGTGTCAGCATTCTGTGACGGGGAGACCCTCCTGTGTCAGCTGTCTGTGATAGGGACACCCTCCTGTATCAGCTGTCTGTGATGGGGACATAATCTTGTGTCAGCTGTCTATGACGGAGACACCCTCCTATGTCAGCTGTCTGCGACGGGGAGACAATCATGTGTCAGCTGTCTGTGATGGAGATAACCTCCTGTGTCAACTGTCTGTGACAGGGAGACCCTCCTGTGTCAACTGTCTGTGACAGGGAGACCCTCCTTTGTCAACTGTCTGTGACGTGGAAACCCTCCTGTGTCAGCTGTCTGTGACTTGGAGACCCTCCTGTGTCAACTGTCTCCGACGGGGAGACAATCATGTGTCAGCTGTCTGTGATGGAGACAACCTCCTGTGTCAACTGTCAGTGACGTGGAGACCTTCCGTTGTCAACTGTCTGTGACGTGGAGACCCCCTGTGTCAACTGTCAGTGACGAAGACACCCTCCTGTCTCAGCTGTCTGTGATGGAGACAACCTCCTGTGTCAACTGTCTGTGACGGGGAGACCCTCCTGTGTCAACTGTCTGTGACGGGGAGACCCTCCTTTGTCAACTGCCTGTGACGGGGATACCTTCCTTTGTCAACTGTCTGTGGCGTGGAGACCCTCCTTAGTCAGCTGTCTGTGACGGGGAGACCCTCTTGTGTCAACTGTCTGTGACGAGGAGACACTCCTGTGTCAGCTGTCTGCGACAGGGAGCCCATCATGTGTCAGCTGCCTGTGATGGAGACACCCTCCTGTGTCAGCCGTCCGTGATGGGGCACTCTCCTGTGTCAGCATTCTGTGATGGGGACACCCTCCTGTGTCAACTGTCTGTGACGGGGAGACAAGCCTGTGTCAACTGTCTGTGATGGACACCTGTGTCAGCTGTCTGTGATGGAGACACCTTCCTGTGTCAGCTGCCTGTGATGAATACGTGTGTCAACTGTCTGTGATGAGGACACCTTCCTGTGTACGAGATCTGTGATGGGGACACCCTCCTGCGTAAGCTGTCTGTGATGGAGACACTCTCCTGTGTCAGCTGTCTGTGATGGATACCTGTGTCAGCTGTCTGCGATGGGGACACCCTCCTGTGTCAGATGTCTGTGATGGGAACACCCTGCTTTGTCAGCTGTCTGTGATTGGGACATCCTCCTGTGTCAGCTGTCTGTGATGGGGAGACCACCATGTGTCAGCTGTCTGTTATGGTAAGACCTTCCTGTGTCAGCCGTCTGTGATGGGGAGACACTCCTGTGTCGGCTGTCCGTGTTGGGGTCACCTTCCTGTGTCAGTTGTCTGTGATGGGGACACCCTCCTGTGTCAGTTGTCTGTGATGGGGAGGCATTCCTGTGTCAGCTGTCTGTGATGGGGACACCCTCCTGTGTCAGCTGTCTGTGATTGGGAGGCGTTCCTGTGTCAGCTGTCTGGGATGGGGACACCCTCCTGTGTCAGCCTGTCCGTGATGGGGCACCCTCCTTTGTCAGCTGTCTGTGATGGGGACACCCTCCTGTGTTAGCATTCTGTGATGGGGACACCCTCCTGTGTCAGCTGTCCGTGTTGGGGTCACCTTCCTGTGTCAGACGTCTGTCATGGTCACACCCTCCTGTGTCAGCTGTGTGTGATGGACACATCTTCCTGTGTCAGTTGTCTGTGATAGGGACACCTTCCTGCGTCAGCTGTCTGTGATGGAGACACCTTCCTGTGTCAGTTGTCTGTGATAGGGACACCTTCCTGTGTCAGCTGTCTGTGATGGGGACACCCTCCTGTGTCAGCATTCTGTGATGGGGACACCCTCCTGTGTCAGCTGTCTGTGACGGGGAGACAAGCCTGTGTCAACTGTCTGTGATGGACACCTGTGTCAGCTGTCTGTGATGGAGACACCTTCCTGTGTCAGCTGCCTGTGATGAATACGTGTGTCAACTGTCTGTGATGAGGACACCTTCCTGTGTACGAGGTCTGTGATGGGGACACCCTCCTGCGTAAGCTGTCTGTGATGGAGACACTCTCCTGTGTCAGCTGTCTGTGATGGATACCTGTGTCAGCTGTCTGCGATGGGGACACCCTCCTGTGTCAGCTGCCTGTGATGAATACGTGTGTCAACTGTCTGTGATGAGGACACCTTCCTGTGTACGAGGTCTGTGATGGAGACACTCTCCTGTGTCAGCTGTCTGTGATGGATACCTGTGTCAGCTGTCTGCGATGGGGACACCCTCCTGTGTCAGATGTCTGTGATGGGGACACCCTGCTTTGTCAGCTGTCTGTGATTGGGACACCCTCCTGTGTCAGCTGCCTGTGATGGGGACACCCTCCTGTGTCAGCTGTCTGTGACGGGGAGACCACCATGTGTCAGCTGTCTGTTATGGTAAGACCTTCCTGTGTCAGCCGTCTGTGATGGGGAGACACTCCTGTGTCGGCTGTCCGTGTTGGGGTCACCTTCCTGTGTCAGTTGTCTGTGATGGGGACACCCTCCTGTGTCAGTTGTCTGTGATGGGGAGGCATTCCTGTGTCAGCTGTCTGTGATGGGGACACCCTCCTGTGTCACCTGTCTGTGACTGGGAGGCGTTCCTGTGTCAGCTGTCTGGGATGGGGACACCCTCCTGTGTCAGCCGTCCGTGATGGGGCACCCTCCTTTGTCAGCTGTCTGTGATGGGGACACCCTCCTGTGTTAGCATTCTGTGATGGGGACACCCTCCTGTGTCAGCTGTCCGTGTTGGGGTCACCTTCCTGTGTCAGCCGTCTGTCATGGTCACACCCTCTTGTGTCAGCTGTGTGTGATGGACACACCTTCCTGTGTCATCTGTCTGTGATGGGGACACCTTCCTGTGTTAGTCGTCTGTGATGGGGACACCCTCCTGTGTCAGTTGTCTGTGATAGGGACACCTTCCTGTGTCAGCTGTCTGTGATGGGGACACCCTCCTGTGTCAGCATTCTGTGATGGGGACACCCTCCTGTGTCAGCTGTCTGTGACGGGGAGACAAGCCTGTGTCAACTGTCTGTGATGGACACCTGTGTCAGCTGTCTGTGATGGAGACACCTTCCTGTGTCAGCTGCCTGTGATGAATACGTGTGTCAACTGTCTGTGATGAGGACACCTTCCTGTGTACGAGGTCTGTGATGGGGACACCCTCCTGTGTCTGCTGTCTGTGATGGGGACACCCTCCTGTGTAAGCATTCTGTGATGGGGACACCCTCCTGTGTCAGCTGTCCGTGTTGGGGTCACCTTCCTGTGTCAGACGTCTGTCATGGTCACACCCTCCTGTGTCAGCTGTGTGTGATGGGGACACCTTCCTGTGTCAGTTGTCTGTGAAGGAGACCAGTGTCAGCTGTCTGTGATGGACACACCTTCCTGTGTCATCTGTCTGTGATGGGGACACCTTCCTGTGTCAGTTGTCTGTGATAGAGACACCTTCCTGTGTCAGCTGTCTGTGATGGGGACAACCTCCTGTGTCAGTTGTCTGTGATAGGGACACCTTCCTGTGTCAGCTGTCTGTGATGGGGACACCCTCCTGTGTCAGCTGTCTGTGACTGGGAGGCGTTCCTGTGTCAGCTGTCTGTGATGGGGACACCCTCCTGTGTCTGCTGTCTGTGATGGGGACACCCTCCTGTGTTAGCATTCTGTGATGGGGACACCCTCCTGTGTCAGCTGTCCGTGTTGGGGTCACCTTCCTGTGTCAGCCGTCTGTGATGGTCACACCCTCCTGTGTCAGCTGTGTGTGATGGGGACGCCTTCCTGTGTCAGCTGTCTGTGAAGGAGACCAGTGTCAGCTGTCTGTGATGGACACACCTTCCTGTGTCATCTGTCTGGATGGGGACACCTTCCTGTGTTAGTCGTCTGTGATGGGGACACCTTCCTGTGTCAGTTGTCTGTGATAGGGACACCTTCCTGTGTCAGCTGTCTGTGATGGGGACAACCTCCTGTGTCAGCTGTCTGTGATTGGGAGGCATTCCTGTGTCAGCTGTCTGTGATGGGGACACCCTCCTGTGTCAGCCGTCCGAGATGGGGCACCCTCTTTTGTCAGCTGTCTGTGATGGGGACACCCTCCTGTGTCAGCTGTCTGTGATGGGGACACCCTCCTGTGTTAGCATTCTGTGATGGGGACACCCTCCTGTGTCAGCTGTCCGTGTTGGGGTCACCTTCCTGTGTCTGCCGTCTGTCATGGTCACACCCTCCTGTGTCAGCTGTGTGTGATGGACACACCTTCCTGTGTCATCTGTCTGTGATGGGGACACCTTCCCGTGTTAGTCGT